ACATGTATGTATATATATGCCATTAATTGGTTTAAAGAAATGGAGGGTCAAGTGTCAAAAGTAGCAAGTAAATATTCCATATTAAAAATATGGCTGTAATAATGTTACAGAAGATAAAAACAAATGGAATAACATTATATGGCTGGAAGTCAGTATTGGTAAGATGCCGGTTTCTCATTATATATCTATAGATTTTGTCTTACCATCCAAAATCATATTCTCTTTAACTGACAAGTTGTTTCTAAACATAGAGAAGAAAAAAATTCAAAAGAAAATGTAGGTATATTTTTTAATTCTAAATTTATTAACTAATCAAATTAATGTAGTTTAGGATTATAATGAACATATCATGTATTAGAATTCATATTACAGATGTTCACCATTTTTATGTATTTTTATATATTATGGGCTTACTTTCAACACATACTGAGCAGAAATTCAAAACAAAAAGAAAAGTGTGTTTAACAAATGCAGTTGAAAGAACAGCTTTAACCATCTAAATAAAATTTATTTGAGATGAGCCATGGTCCTAGCTATTAGAATGAAAAAATTTCAAAGAATTGGAGAGAATGGCACCAATACTTTAATAGGTACTAAACAAGAGAAAATAAATAATTGCCAGTAAATAAATGGAATAAAAATCTAAGTTGAGACATCATTTCACATACACTAGAATGGCTAAATTAAAAATTATAAATACCACCAAATATTAGAAATTATATGGAACAACCAGAACTTATAAGTATTTTTGAAGAAACTGTCAATATTATTAAATATTGATAAAATGCTAGCAGTTTCAATCATGTACCCATACTAAACAAACAAATACAAAGCCTACCATCAAGTTGATTTTGATTCAAGATGAGAGCATGGAACTGAAGTCCATAGTGCTTTTGATGGTAGAAATTTTTAAAGGATCCTACTTTCAAGTTTTTATGAGAGAGAAAATGAAACATGGCCACAAAAGACTTGTATAAATGTAGCTTTAAAAAAAATAAACCGAAACTGTGAGCAATCTCATGTCCATCAAAAGAAAAGGGATTAAAAAGGTATGACATTTTCATGCTCTGGAATATTACTCAGTAATGTCTACATACAAAAACAACTAATATACATACCCCAACAGGAATAAATTTTAAAAAGTTTGTTGAGTGATAGAAGGAAGATACAAAAGAGTATGGCATTATGATTTAATTGTTATATAGTTCACTAACACATAACGAATAAGAATGAAAGAAGAAAAATTGACGACTTTGAACTATTATTGAATATCCCATAGACTGCCAAAAGAACAAGCAGATCTGTCTGGAGGAAGATGCAGCCAGAGTGCTTTTTGGAGGACCAGAGGGCAATGCTTCCTCTCCAAATACTTTGGGCATATTGCTAGGAAAGGCTATTCTTCGGAGAGGGACATCATACTGGAAAGTTGAGAGGACAGCAAAAAGCGGAGACCCTCAACCAGAGGGATTGACAAAGTGACTGCAGCCCTGGGCTTGGGTGTGTCAGAGATTGTGATACTGGTAGAAAATAGGGCAGAGTTCAGATCTTTTGTTCTTAGGGTAGTTATGAGTTGCACTTGACTGGATGGCACCTAACAACAACATACAAAAATAAATTATGCTCTTAAAAAGCAGAACTTTTTTTAAGTTGGGGTGGAAGTTTTGAGGAATTGAATGAATGAAGAACAAGGAAATTTTCTCTAGTGGAAGTAATGCTTGTATCTCCTCAGAGATCTTTGTCATTGTCAGCTGGGAAAGTTTTCTAGTCACTTTTTGAAATTTGAAATGCAACTTACCTGAGAATGTATAAAAGTAATTTTTTCTGTATATGATGTTGCTGTATTAAAAAAGCTCTAAATATGTGGTTTTTTTTAAAAAAAAATCTAATACTTTACCCCTTTTGGTCTGAAGAAGCCATTGATGCATGTCTCGCAGTTTATGCCAGCAGTGTTTTGTGTACAATTAATGCACACACCCCCTCCGATGTACTTTCCATATATATTTAAACTTAGATTTCTTCTAGCAACATCTTCATCATAATAGCATTCTTCAGCTTTCCCATGGCAATTGCATGCTGCATCATGAAAAAGAATTTGGAGAACATTTATTTCTCAGGTTTCAGATACATTAGAATTAATACCAGATAAATTAATATTAAGCATAATATATATTAAGTAATTCTTTTCAGTTATTCATGAGTAGGTTTAATATTGAGTGATTACACAACACATACCAGTCATAACAAAAATATAAACAAAGTGTTTAGAGTTCTTAGATGGATTACTAAATTCACTTTTTAATGCTACTTGAAATAATCCAACTGAAGCTAAACATGTAAAATTAACAGTATTTGACAGATTTTTATTCATAAAACACTAATTTCATTTGAGCAAATCTGTAGTTTCCTACTATGGCAAATGCAAAAAAAAAATTGAACAAGGGTATTATGTAATTGTTATTTCTGAGTGTCATTGAGTGGGAACTGACTCAGATCTGATGCTCCAGTGGATTTTCAGAGGTAATTAATAATTTAAGAGGAAATTTACCATTATTCTTCCATAGAGCAGCTGGTAGATTCTGCTTGTCTTTTGAATTTCAGTAAAGCTTCTAATTAACCCAATTGTCTTTGTAGTTGTTACATCCTGTGGAGTTGTTTGCAACTCATAAAGACCCTATGTACAACTCCCTTAAGCCCTGTTCTATCCTCTGCCAATATTATTTTCTCTAACACACCTATCCAGTGACTGAATCAATCCATCTCATCAAGGATCTTCTTCTCCTGCTCTACCCTCCACCCTCCCAAACATGATGTGCCTCTCCAAGGACTGATTCTTCCTTGCAACATGTCCAAAATATGCCAGATAGAGCTTCAGAATCCTTGCCTCCAAGGAGCAGCCTGGATTCACTCTCTCCAGGAGGGGCTTGTTTGTTCTTTTAGCATTCCATGGTATAATCAATACTCTTCTCAAGCACCAAAGCTCAAAGGCATCTATTCTCCTTCTATCATGCCTAGTCATTGTCCAGCTCTCCGATGCATAGGAAGTAATTGCAGAGACCATGGCCTTTATCAGGGGCACCTTAGTCTCCAGAGAGACACCGTTGCTCCTGAGTACTTTAGAGAGGTCCCTAACAGCAGACTTTCCCATCGCGATACGTTTTTTGATTTCCTGACGCTGGTGCCAAGAATTTGATTTGTAGAGCCAAGCAAACTGAAGCTGTCAACAATCTCAATCTCTTCATCATCCATCATGGTGCTGCCAATCGGCCCAGTGGTGAGAATCTTTGTATTTTGATATTGAGCCTCAATCCATATTGAAGGCTGCAGTCCTTGACCTTCTGCAGCAAGCGCTTCAGGTCCTCCTCAGTTTCAGCAAGCAGGGTTGTGTCATCTGCATAACGCAGATTGTTGATGATCCTAGCCCCAATAGCCCAATAGGCAAGTAAAATCTGCAATGAATAACTACTTTCTTTGTTATTGATTAATTGATATCGACTCCATTTAAGTTTTACATAGTTTTCTGGTATATGTCATAGAATTGCTTGTTTTCAAATCTATAATCTTTAAAAAGCAGATAAGCCAATTTGATTTCCAGGAAGAATCAGGACAGTATCCAACACAATCTTGGTAATAATAGTCCAGCACCATTCCAGATCACCATGTAAATATCTGAGTTAGATTGTGTGAGCAAAAAGAATGTGTAGGACACATTTCCCCTTCTTATACTAACAATATCAATGGTATATTTAGCAGGGTTTTTTTTAAAAAATATTAAACTTTTTTTGTTTTGTTTTACAGGTATTACCAATGATTTTCTCCTCAAAGTAGTTTCATGAGTTAGCTATTTCTTTTTTTTTTTTTAACATAGCAGGAACCTGAGGCATAGAGAGGTGAAGTAACTTGTACCAAATAAAATAATTTAGGAAACAATCTATGAAATCAAGCACCTGAGTCAGTACTACTAATCAATTCTACATTCCTTCATGTTTTGATGGGTAAAGAAGATAAAATATTTGATAAGCAAGGTGGAGTCAACCATTTTCATATTCATGGCCACCCTATGTAACCATAAAGTAACTGTACTCTACTGTTGTAGTTGTGTAACAATGATTTGGACCCAACACATAGCTGACTCATAGCTGACAGTTTTTCAGAGGTAATTAATTGCTGAGGAGATTGCCCACACTTCTTTTGCGGAACAGCTGGTAGATTTGAACTGTACACTTTCAGGGTTGCAATTCAGCTTCTTGCCATTATACCACCAAAGCTCTCTAGCTAACTTTAGTTTATCAGGTATCTAGGATTCAGTATTTCATATTTATACTAACAGTGTTTCTTTTTCTTTTTTTAATCCACTACCTGTTATTTCAACTAGTTCATCATTAATCTATCTCATTGAGATCTTCTTTCTTTTTTTGTTGATCGTCCACTTTGTCAAACTTGATGTCCTTCTCCAATAAAGCATATTCAAAATGTGTAATTAAATATGTATGGTAAGTATCACATAATAGGGAAATATGAGAACTGGTTTACTTAGTGATTAAGGTTATGCTTTCTTATACCAGCCTTAGATGTGCTATTCTCTCAAGGAAAACATTATATTCAATTATTAACAACTCTATTCTGACTCAGAGTAACTTTATAGGGCACATTGGAACAGAAGCTGAATACCCCTATCATTCTTCCTTAGAACAGTTGGTGAACATTTAAACACCAGCATTTCTACTTTCCATTTTTGAAACATGAGGATACTGCTCTTTATTTGTTATTACTAAGTAGACTTATCATTTTTGCCTTGTTTTTGTAGGCTGGAATCAACAATTTTTCAACTTGTTTTACTATTTCTGCTGCCTGAATTACAAGTGTGATAATCTTTTTGCATGATTATAAGTCATTTGTTTCTTAAGAAATACTTATTTGACCTTTGCTCATTTAAAGATTGTTTCTCTATTATTCTTATTGATTTGTAAATTCTCTCAATGCCACAAGAAAATGAGAGTCTTGTCAGTTTTGTTGCAAATAAACTCACTCTCCTTGTCATGAAGCCAAAACTGACTCACAGCTGATACTCTACGAGGTTTCCAGAGGTTATAAATCACAAGAGAAGAGATTGATCATCTTTATTTTGTAGAACAAAGTGTGAGAGAGGTGACACTTGCGGGCTAGCAGCCCAACTCCTTATGGATTATTCTTTCCCCAATACACCGACTTTTTACTTATCTCTAATATTTCTCTATATTAATGGAGAAATGAAAACTTTATTATGGAAACACACAATAATATGAGCCATTTATTAGGAGTTATCTTTGTATCTTTAGAACAACACATAGACATTATTAAAAGTGCTAGTAGAAAAATATTTTTCAAGGAGCAGTTAAGGTTTCTATTGCCAGTATAAGTAGAGGGAAGCATGAAGCTATACCAACTTAATTTCTTATTATTTAGAGTTTTGTTGTTATGTACCATCGAGTTGCCTGCGACTCACAGCAACCCTATGTACAACAGCCCTAAGCCCTGCTCTATCCTGTGCCAGTCTTACTGTCTCCAAAACACCTATCCCCAATTCCCCAGTCACTGAATCAAAATCATCAAACTCTTCGAGGGTCTTCCTTTCTCCGCTGTCCCTCTACCCTCCCAAGCATGACATCCTTCTCAAAGGACTGATCCTGCCTTACAACATGTCCAAAGTACAACAAAGCCTCAGAATCCTCGCCTCCAAGGAGCAGCCTGGCTTCACCCTCTCCAGGACAAACCTGTTTGTTCTAGCAGTCCATGATGTATTCAGTGCTCTTCTAGCACCACAGCTCAAAGCCATAAATTCTCTTTCTATAATTCCTGGTCAATGTCCAGTTTTCTTGTGCATAGCAAGTAATTTCAAAGACTATGCC